AAGCTCCATCAGATTTATAGTAAAGCTTCCCGTTGTAATCTCTTTCGCATTACATGACATATGCCAATCCTCAATCAGGACAAGCCCCTCATCAGTTTCAATTGAAGATAACTCCACCGATTCATTTCCAATATCAAGGATAGCTCTTGTCTCGCTGGAAGGTACCACCACTGTTGTGGATTTAATGTTAAATTTTTCTACAACCAACTCCACAATTGGTTTCCAATCTGCAATCTTCTTCCTGCTATCAGCACAAACCTCTTCTCCCAAACCCCTTTCCTACTTCCACTTCCATCTTCCATACTTTCAATGAACTTGAGATAAGCATCTCCTTCTTCAACTCTATCTCACCATTAACAAATGATTTTTCCCCACTTGTGTTTTATGCCATGCCTTCTGTAACTACAACAATGATCCTTTCTCGTTACATCTCAGCAGCTTCATAGTTTTTCCCTTTCAGCGCCAGTTGACTCTTCCACTCATTTCTTTTCACTGAATAAGTTGCTCCACCAATAAAGCCTTCATCCATAGCGTAGCTTCAACTAGAAAGATAGTGACTTTCTTCTCTTCCCTAACCCTTAACAAGCACTGATCATCGTTTCTGCAATCCTCCGGAAGAAATCTCTTTGCTTTGAATCCCATCTCTCGTCTTCATCTCGTGGCTGGCAGGAACCTTGCTGCTTCTCCCTTCATCTCTATCTTTTACTATTCACTGATGTCTCCTTCATTTTAAGATACTTCCATTAACTAAAGAACATTCAGTGTACATCTGGGAAGGGACAGATCATGGAACTGAGTCACTGTGAGCATCCATGGTGCTTCGAGTAACAGCTGGGATGCAAAAGTAGCCTCCCATTCCTCTACAACTTCTCCCTGGAAATTTATTCAGTTGCATGGCCTTACTTCCTTCTAAGGGCGCTGATTGATCCCTATCAACACAATACTTCTTTGAGATCTACAATAATATTTATTTTTCTAATAAGTACAACCAAACATGAAAATACTTGCAAACAAAGAAAACAATCTGGAAGATGCAATCAAATTTGTAATTAACTGGAGTAGGGGAACCTTGGCTGAACACTTGAATTTGCTGGAACAGGCCTATGTTCATAGGTTTTGGGCTGAACTTAACAATTTGTTAAGCTTCAGCTCTCTGACACAAGTAGCCCTAACAAGAATCACTTGAAGGCCAATAGAGGCCTAGACAGAAGAACACATATAGCTAACCTTTTTCTCAACCTTTGGTCCCACATCAGCTTCATTCAGAACATTTTCGGCAACAGTGCTGAATAGGCTCTTTAAGTGCATTTTCAATTTTATTTTTTCGATAAATGTGCATGCTCAATTTTATCCTTAAAAGCAAAATAGTAATTCTGAAAAGCTGAACACAACAAGCCATCCACAAAGCCAAGGAGCTAAACTTAATGTTAGCTTTTAGATTCCATTCTTAGGATTCACTTGATTGAAAATGAAAATTCTTCATTGAATCAGTTTTTAAATTCCTCCAAAGGCCATCAATTCTAACCTCACTTGTACCTTTTTTATGGACTACCTTTTTTAGACAATGCCCAGAAAATGCCACAATGTCAAAATGATCCTGGCCATATCAAATCAAAACTCCTCCAAGCACCAAAGCTAAGCGCCAGGAAAGTTGTATGGCAAACAATTAGGAACTTATTTTGTTCTTTAATTCCCTCCAGATAAGGCAAACTATCAAACTCGCTATAACTGACCACTGACCACTGACCACTGGCCAGAAAATTACACTTAATCATATCAAAAACAATTTCCACTGACACAGACAACCTGTTACCTCCTAGGGTTATCTACCAAAAGAATCCCAAGCATTGGTCTAGTACTTCACAAAATAAGCCTCCCATTGTCACTTTCTAGCCACCATTTTGTACTATTAATTTAACCTGGTTACCACCTACAGGGATTCCTTCATGCAAACAATGGATTGTGTATGACATGAGATAGATTACATGCAACTGTTTCATAAAAAATACATTTGGGCCCCGTTTGGCATATCTTTACACGTGGGCTGTCGGCTTTGCAGAAGCCCGGCAGCCCACGTTTTGGTCGTTTCCCGTTTGGTTGGGAAAAGATATAGCCATCAAAAGCTACAGCCCTGAAAAAACATGGAAAGCCCATTTCTGGCTATTTTCAGGAAGCTCCAAATGGAGTTTTTTGCCTTTTTTCAACTCGTCTTTGCATGGAAAGATGCGTCTCAACCAAACGGCATTCAAGCTGCTAAGATCTTAATGCAAAAGCTCAAATCGTCTTTTGACTGTCATATCTACCAGAAGATCTTTTAAAAAGGACTTGTGAAGTCTGCAGTAACAAGTAGATACCATCAAACTAAGATGGTGTTAGCAGGGGCAGATGAATCACTTTATAATGGCAATGTCAGACACCAACAAAGTCTTACCATCATAGCTACAAAGATTAAGCTTCTTAAGGCCTCCAAACGAAACATAACCTACATGATGGATCAGCTTGAAGTTCAATTAAGAACAATAACATGAAGAGCTGGATAATCAATATGACTCAAACCAACAAAGCAAAGTTGATCCATCAAAAGAAAAATGTCAAAGCAAGGTCTATATAAGATGCTTCTAGCAACCCCAGCCCCCACCCACTCACTCACCCAAAAAATACAAGGGAAAGAAAATAAAAGGTCTTATATATCACTTGAAGCATGAAAAGATATATATGAAGCAGAAGTTATTCAATTATGAACTACAAAGAATAATCTTTACGGGGCTTCCAAAGGAAACACACAACCTACATGATGGATCAGCTTGAAAAGATATATTTGAAGCAGAAGTTATTCGATTAGGAACAATAAAATGAAGAGCTGGATTATCAACGAGTGTATGACTCACATCCAGAAAGCAAGGTATTTTTTTTTTCGACAAGTAATAGAAGATTTGATTAATATTAAGAATCAATAAATGATCCACAGAATACTTATCAAAAATAAATAAATGATACACAGAAAACTTCCTACAAAGAGGCAAGAGCTGCAGCCTCAGTTCAACACAAGGAATTACAATTTAGCCCAAAAAAGTTAATTCCTATGCACCCCTTGTTTAGCTAGAGAATCTGCAAATTCATTTACCAATCTCCTTTCCCATTGAAAGCTGACTGTCATATTTGTGGTTAACCATTTGAATCTTCTCAAAGCCCCCTATAAGACCAGGCTACTGTTTCCAGTTCTTTCAACCACCCAATTACCAATTACCAATTTCGAGTCACCTTCAATCAACAGTTGTTCACAAGTTCTTTGGCAAATTCTGCTCCTTGTAACACTACTTAGGTTTCTGCATTAACTAAATCCCCCACTCTAGGACCATAACATAAAGCAACGATTAGACCCTCTGCATTTCCAAGCACTCCCCCAATACCAGATGGCCTTGGATTGATTAGACTGCTACCATCAAAATTGAGCTTAATAACACCTTCAGGAGGTTTCCACTCCACTGATGGTTTATCTCTCACAATAGAGCTTTTGGCAACCGATTCCCACTTCCTCCATAAATCATCAAAGGAGAAGGGAGAACAGAGGTTCCAAAGCCTTGGCCCAGTTGATAGCTTTGTTAATTATACAGTCCCAAACACTTGCCTCTCCTCAAAAAATTCTGGTATTTCTTTCCTCCCAAACAGTCCAAACCAAGGCAGTGCTAGGCCACCTAAAGGTTGTAGGTTGAAAGAGATAGCTAACCTGCATCAGCATTGTCCACCTGCAACCAAAAAGACCAAAAAGCTTCCCCCAACAAGAAAAGCAAAGTTGGTTCATAAAAAAATAAATCACAAATCAAAGTAAGGGAAAGAAAACAAAGAGGTTATTTCATGCTGAACCTTCAAAGAACAAGGCATAACCCTCAAGCAAGGCAAGGGCATTCTGCCCTGAAACTATAGCCTCACTTCTGCACTGTAAGACTTAAGCTTTGACCTTGTGATGCATAGGCCTCAAGGTGCAAGGTGCCAAGCACATCCAAGGCGTAAGAATTGTATTTCTACAGCCCACCATAACTTGATCAAAATCACTTAAGTTTAATTTTTTTAATCTGTTTACTGGAGCATTAGCTATGACCTAGTAGACAACTAGACATCTAACCTCTTTTTTTTAGGTAGTAAATAAAAAATAAAATTTTATTGAAGAGAGAGGAAAGCAAGAGAGTACAGTTTTAAATATAAAAGGTGATGAGAAATCACCAAAATAGAAAAGACAGATTACTTCAATTTAACATCAAAACAGAACAAGCTACCCAGAGACCCTGCCCCATCCAATTGTTTCCCAAAAGTTTCCCTCAAAGGAGCCTCTTGAAATGAATAGACAAGAGAAAGAGAGGAAATGAAGCTTCAATTCTATCTTTTTTTCCTTTTCATGCAATTGAGAATTGTGGAACCTTGATTTCTCCACTGTTCCCCCTTGATATTCAATGAAATAATACGGGGTTGCTTGCAAAGGATTTTACACAGTAGAGAGACTTGAAACTTGTGGGATTTAATGAATTCTTTTGTGCTTTTATATTTATTAATACGCAAGTTGATTTTTCTCAAAAGAAAGGCCTGAACCACTTTTTTTTTCCATTTTCCTTAACCTAGTTGCATATTCTCTAATGTAATATTGGTTTTGGATGTATATAGATTATTTTTTTCAATGTCTATATGATGAACAAAATACCAATGGATATGGTAGAAAACCTGCATGGAAGTATAGGACAGAAATTGAGAGGCCTAGAAAAATTGAGAAGCCATATATGTATTCTTTAGCAAGATTATAGCAGCTTAATATTAGTTTTTTACATTATTTTACAATGTATGAATTTTATCCAACTGTTCTTTTGAAATTTTTTAATGCTTACACTTCACCTCTTCATGCCCAACCATCTCACCTCTGCCTTTGGTCCTTTGACTTTTAAATCTTGCTAATTCTTCAAGGCAATTTGAACCTTCGGGATGCCAACAGCTATGCAGTACCATGATAGGTATAGAAAGAAAGTAGCTCTCAAACATCTATAACATTTCAAAATTTGACAAATTCAAATAAATCATTGCTACAACTCTAGAGATGAACAAAGAATTACATATCACTTTAGAGAAACATTACAAGCATTTTCCTTGCACCAGCACATACAGCTAAATGAATGGGTGGAGAAGGTAATATTGAGATTCTACCAGTAAACTGTGCTAAGAACTTGATTCATTGAACCAGTATATTAAGTTTGTCTTTGCATTTGCTGCCATTTGAGAACTTGTTGAAAAGCTTATCCTGCTCTATGTTGGCAATCAGAAAGAATAGACCCAAGAGAAAACAAATCAGCCAACTGCTATGCCTTCTGGGATACCTATATATACATGCAAACAGGCAAAATATCCAGCAATTGAAGATAAGCCAGATTACCCAACTTCAAGCTGACAGGCACAAGGAGAGATGAAGGCATGAACTTTACTTCCCCATAATGTTAATTGGGAAGACTAATAATTGTGTACATAATCACACAACAGTTGGTGTAGATCTAAACTGATTGCCCACCACATTGTCAATTGTCCCATTTGAATGTCTGGCTTTGGCACTACCATACTTCACCAGCTTCTGCTGAAACAATGAGCTGAGCATCTTCTCCAAATTCTGTGCTGTGTATTTTGCATACTTGCTAGCACTTGCGTCTTGTTCAACCAAGGGTCCATAGTTCTGCATGTAACTTCTGTAAACAGGAACAATGGTCTGAACTGCCAACTGACATGTCTTCTCCCTCAAATCTCTTTCTGACACAACCCAGCTGGACTGCTTCTTATACATATCATCAAAAGCTTCATTGAATGCCTTCAGCCTCTTTTTGACCAGATCACGAGCTGTAGCTCTCCCACCTGAGAACATAATCAAACCTTCTCTGCTTAATAAAGGAGGAAGCTTACTCCAGCTCTCTCTCATGTACATAGCAGCAAAATATTCCTTGTACTGTTCATGTTCTTTTAACCAATTATCTCCCAAGAGATCCCCAAGCTTTGTACCCTTCAAATGCTTGTACAAATGCCAGTGGTTGTTCATCATAAAGACATGGGACAGAGTTACATCCTCATAGGCCTTTGACCATGTCTCCAAATTCGTCTCAATGGCTTTGATAATATTCAGGACTGCCTCAGTGAGGAGCTTCTCTTGAAACCGTTCATGTTTCCAGCTGCGGTGAATGACCAAAACCTGTGTCAAGATTGGCCTATAATCATCTCCGAGCAGCCGATTACAGTAGTCAGTGATAAAGCTTACCAGCCTTGGCACACTGCCATCTAAAGGAGGCGCTGTCTGCCTCTGTAGCTCCACCTGAACCAAAAGTTCCCAGAAAATCTCACAAGCCCCTTCGATAACTCTCTTAATAAGATCCCTTGTTAGGGTTTGGATTTCCGCACAGGCTTTCCCACCAAATAGTCGGTTGAAATCCAACCTCAGTTTATTCAAAGAAGCAAAAATGTCCAAGAGTTTCAATAGTTTGATGGGGTCCTTCTTACTCTCTGTAACTGTTTTACCAAACTGGAGGAAAGCAAGAATACCAGCTTGGGCAGCTATCTTCGCAAAGCATCCCATCCAGATATCTAGGCCTATCTTCTCAAATACATCATTACAGAGTTTGTATTCAGCTTCAAACAGATGCTTCACAGCAAATTCCAAATGCTTGCCCCATTGAGCTATGTAACCCTCGATACTCTGCACATCATTGAATTCGTTGATCGAGATCTCAAGGTAGTCCAGATTGAGCGCCTGTAAGCTTGCCCTAACATTTGAACTGCGAACTTCAACATAGATAGAGATGCATTTATCAAGTCGCTTATTAGCGGTTAATCTCTCGATGATTGCCTGCAGCTTCTGGATAACAGTTACGGGCAAAGGTGAAGGCGCAATGCAGGCTTGTTCTTCAAGAGAAGATGAAGACGACATTGGAAGTGGAACACTGTTTTCCGTTAGGAGTCGCCGGAACTCAGCTTCCAGTTTGTCCAGAGCGGCCTCGAGAAGTCCGCCATCGAGACGAGCCCGTTCCTCATCTGTCTGCAATTCCCTTAGAGTCTTCAACGATTTCTTCAAATTCGACAGATACCGATCATCGGCAACCGTATTGTCTTCCAGGTACTCAACGATATCCTCCAACCACTGAATCGCTAACCCGCAATTATCAGCAAGAAACCGCAGTGCCTCCTCGAGCCGTTTGAGGACTGAAAGGTATCCGGGGAGATCGTTCCGAGGGTCTGAAAGCAGCGACTTCTCAAGTCCATGAACAGCATCGAAGACCTTCAGAACTGCGGCAGCAGGGCCAACAGCCCGATCAATATGGCCTCCAACAGCAACCAGAGCCTCTTTCTGCGCTCGAATGGGACGAACAGCCGCTTCTAGAGACGGTAATCTCTGGTTAATTTCTTCCAATCTCGGCCCTGCTTTCTCCAGGGCAAAAGCAAGAGCTTTCGATTTCTCCAAACTAGTCTTCAAGGATTTCCTAGCTGCTACAAGATTCTCGATATTCTTCAATGAAGCCATTCGGAAACAACACAAAAACCCTAACCACCAGTGAAAACCCTAAATGTAGCCGTAAACTGCAGGAGCTAACTTGAACTGTTCTTCAGCTCTTCAAACACAGTAACCTCAGAAGATAATTAGTTCAGAAATAAGAAATGTAGAACCAAAATCACATTTTTCATGGTTCCCACCCGTTCTGTCCCTCGAATTCACCGCCGGAGTTCTTATCCAGGATTGACAAAGAAATCAATCTCCATTTTCTCCACCAAACTTCACCAAATTACGACGAAGAAGACCACCAGATTCGAACCAAACTTCAAAACCAAAATAAAACAAGAATTAAAAATGCAACCAAAAAAATCAAGAAAATCGCAACTACCAAGCAACTAAGATTGAATGAAAGACTTGAATGACTGATTGGTGGAATCCAAATCAAAACTCACTTAGAATTAGAGTAGAAAACTGAGGGTTCTAGGCAGATCTGCTCTGCTGATTCCAATCGAACCTCTCGGAAATGAAAGCAGCGTGATTCTGAATCAATTTTTTCCCCTTCTTTCTTTGCTTTCTTTGTTCTTCTTTTCCTTTTTCTTTTCAAGATTTTCAAGGGAAGAAAACAAAAAGCGGTGAGGAAAAAGAAACCCTAAATCTGAAACTGGAAAACCGCTTTCCAACTCGTTTTTTATCCAACAAATACAAAGTGCTTGACAGTAATACCTCTCTCTCTCTCTTCCCCCCTCTGTCCAGAGAGAATCTTAATGAAAAATAAAATAATAAATAATTATTAACAATAAAAGTTAAGGGGATTTGGGATTTGAATCCTTCTACTTCTGCTAACTGGGGATTAATTAATCGAAATTAGAAGACTTTGTTCAGTCAGCAGATCGGATGGTTGGTTGTAAGTCAGATGTTATATGTTATATTTTTCTCAAGAATCTCCGGTGGGACCACCCAGCATTGAAGTTTGAACTTTCAGCTGCAAGTTCTGAAGGTGCATTGAGAATGTTGGGCTATTATTATTGAATTATTTCATGGGAGAAGGCAGAGAAATTAATTAGAAAATGATGATTCTACATGACATAGTCACATAGGTAAGATAAAAGTTGGGGAAAGAAAGCCATATCATGGAAGAAAATGAAAATCCGACGATTTTATGACTGAAATTGCAACTGCATCATGATATACATTTGAAAACAGTTGAAGCGGCTGAACTGAAGATTTATTTTTTTGTCTTTTTAGTGAATTTAAGAGATTGTAGGCAGTTTAATGATTGAAATTAAACTGTATTGATAAGGGTTCATTTGAAGAATTTAAATTAGCTGAATGTGATAGCTGTTCAGTAAAGCAAGTTAATGAGTCATGCCACGCCAGTGATAAAATGCATAGGACCCATAGTGAAATATTAAATGGTTGTGGGTCTTATGTATTTAAATATTTTCATGAAGAGTTATCTTTTGTTTAATATGCTAATGCATTTAATAAATCCTTTGTCAATAAGCATTTAAAGAGGTTGAAATGGGCAGTCCTTGATCAATTTGGGCTTTCAAATTTTTTATGCCACTGATAAATGTATATATGCAATTGCACGTGACACAGTATTTCTAAAACAAAACTATTTATAATTCATGGACAGTTTCTAAATAATTATGAGTGGGTAGTTTCTGAAGTGAGAGTAAAGGGCATATATGCCCTTTTTATATGCTCATTGTGTACTTAGATAAAAGGGGTAAAAAACATTCAAGAAAATTCTAGAAAAAAAGAGGATTCGCTCTTTTATAGGTAGTATAGATATAGATATAGATTTGAAAGGGCTCAAGCACAGCAGCTTGTGGCTTTCCAAAATTGGCCATGCACAAACAGCCTATAAGCTAAATTTGATGGAGAAGTCAAAGAGCCCCAATAAGCTATTAGCTAATTGAAAGGTTGCTTCAGCCTCTTTTAAGGATATATTTGGCAAATAAGTGGTTATGGTTGTCCCGAATAAATGTATTCCATAATTACTTATTTTTAAGTATTTAAATAGGTACATTTTTTTGGAGAAGATTTAAATAGGTACTCAGTAGTGTTTGGGAGGTCTTTTGTTAAAACACTTATTCTTATTTGTGTTGCAATGTTTGAAAATCTATTTATCACATAAGTACTTATATTTGTCAAAATGACAACTATTGCCCTAACTCAGCAAATGTTTATATATTTGATATTTTTGAATATTGTATTGATATGCTTTGATGAAAATGATGATCCTAACCCTCACGAGTCACGACTCACATGGGACCACATGTCACATACATTATATTATTAAAAATATTATACTATCAATAAAAAGAATAAATAACCAAAAAACAAGAAAACAAAGAATGGAATTGGAGAAATAATGGAAACGAAGAAAATAAAATGAAAACAATGTGGTTAAACGGTGGGGTTTGATGCATTTGAAGCTGTATTTCCACAGAAGTCGTTTCCGCTACAACAATAGGGTTCTATGATCTATCAGCTTTTAAAGAAGAGGGCAGTCCCAATAAAATACACAAAAGATTGGAAACAGTCTTGTCCAAAAAAGAAATCAGTGCTTAACTAATAAGCACTTAAAAAAATGCTACCCAACTAATGGTTACTTTTCAAAATAATCACTTGAACTTATTTTCCAAACAGGAATAAATATTTATTTTCTACGTATTCTATGATTCCAACACTTGAAATAACTACTTATTTGAATAAATACGTATTTTAAATATTCTCAAACTGAGACTTAATAATATATTTAGAGCATTTAAAAAAAATTGGACCTAAGGTTTAAAGTATCGATACTGGTTAATACACCAATAGAGTATATCGGCTAATATCGACCTCTTTTTTCTAAGTTTTACTTTTTTTTCCAATTTTGATTCAAAGAGAACAGTTTAAATCGCAACTATCCTCTGAACCAGGCCCTGACCCGATACAGCCCCTGTGAGGGTGTATCAAAAAGGGCCCAATACCATACAAAATATCTTCAATATTTTGTTTTTAATTATTTTATTTACTAAAGACAAAATAATAATCCATTCAAATCAGCTTCTTCAGCCGTTATTAGGTGGATGTGCATCGTGCAATGCTGGCTCATTAAAAGGTACAGCTACAAGGCGTTGGGTGCTTTAAATGGCCAATGCCAGCCCACTCCTGTCAAAGTACACGTTCTTTGACGAAACAAAAGTTAAAAGATCGAGCTGTTTGTGGCTTGTGGGGCCTGTGTAATTGATTGATCCCTGTTGTATTAAAGTAAAATAAAATTATTTTAATAATAATACTCCATCCATCTTGAATTCCATGAAATGCTGATAACCGGTTTGATAATCATCCTATCATAGACTCAATAAGGTGTCATTTAAGTTGCCACGTGTCAACGTAAAAGTTTTCTGATCTTTGATCATTCATATATGACCCATTTCACAGTGGTCCAGATCCTCTATACTGCATAAATCAAATGGCAATTGAAGAGAAGGGCACCTTATTAAGATAAGGGCATCTCTAGAATCCTCTCTGTTTTTTTTTTTTTCTTTAATTTTGTTGTTGAGAAATGAATTGAGAATGAGACTCTGTTTGGTGACTATAAATCAACTCTGGAAATGCATTTTCCATGGCTTGGGTTTAGAGGAAAAATTAAAGTTGAAAAGAAAAGTAGAAAACAAAGAAACTTCCTATGATTCCACATTTGAAAGGCTAGAGACTTTGAGGAGAAAAAGAAGAGGTAGGAATAAGGTTCTCTTACTTTCTCTAACCTTTTGACTTTATTACAAGTATTCAATCCTAACCCTAACCCACTTTGATCGGCCATTGGGCCTAATAAGAAATACCCAATGACCCAGCACCATGGCCCAATTCAATGTTGGCCTGCAAATATGTGGAATTAAATGTTCAAAATTCCCTATAAGGATAAGACTTTTTTTTTATTCTATTCAAGTCTTTCATCTCAGTCTCATAGTTGGTGGATAATGGCTGAAGTAGTGAAGTGGCTGAACTGAATGAATCATTGCTGTGTCTTTTGAGCTCTGTGTAAAATTCAGTTTTCATGTGATAGGAAACTTTTCGGCTAAGCTATTCACATATTGACTTCATCCTTTTCAACAGCAAACATCATCAATGACCCAACGCCATGGCCTAATTCAGGATCTGTTTGGTTTACAGTTGAAATCCTTGAGAATTGGAATGATTTATTCTCATAATCTGTTCAATGACCCAACACCATGGCCCAATTCAGGATCTGTTTGATTTACAGTTGAAATCCTTGAGAATTGGAATGGTTTATTCTCATAATCTGTTTGATTTAGACAAAAATAGAAATGAAAATTGAAATTATCTGGAATGGAATTTCATTCCCAAGGGAAAGAGAGGAAATGGTCATTCCCTCAAATGGGGTAATGTTATTCCACTAAGAATGTGAATGAGATTTCGATTCTGTCCAACCAAGCAGTTGGAATTCGAATAACTCATTCTGATTCCAATTCCAAACCCTTATTCCTGTGAACCAAATGGGGTCTCAATGTTGGCATGCACACATGTGGAATTAAATGTAAATAAATCCCCGAATAAGTTTTTCTTAATCTATTCAAGCCTTTTATCTCATTCTCATAGTTGTTAGATAATGGCCAAAATGGTGAAGTGGTTGAACTATATGAATCGCTCTGTCTTCTAATTAATAACGTTATGTCTGGGTAAGCTTTTGCTTTTTAGCTTCGTGCTGTGAAAAAATAAAACTGAGCCAAAAACTGTTTTAAGCGTTTGATGACAGTGTACTTTCAAAAACATTCTGATCTCAAGCCAAAACACTTTTAAGCTCCAAAGCTTACCCAAACTCAACCTAAGATTTTAAAGGAAGTTTTGAGAAGCTGAAGTTGGATTGGTTACACTACCTTTAAATATTTTATTATTTAATTATTGGATAAATTACAAAGACCCTATATTATGGGGTTAATAACAAATATCCCCCTGAACTTTCCATTTGTAACAAAGACCCCTGAGCTTTCACTTTGCAACAAATACCCCTTAGAGTTCTGCTAGTTAACTTTGAAAAATATTCTCATTCAACTGTTTAAAATGTTTAAATCCCCAAATTACCCCTTTCTTATTTTTTTGAATGATTTATGATTTGATCAATTTTCTAAATTAACATTGAAACCATCACAGTTGCTTCAATAGATAATTGAAGATTTCTTGTTGGATTCAATATTCAAGTGAAATGGTAGATGTTTCCTTTTGATAAATATAAATTTATGGATTGGTTTGGTTTTTCTTGATTTATTGGAGAAAGGAGTGGGTATTTTTTATATTTTAAGAAGAAGGGAGACATTCATGTGAGTGAAATGAATCAAGAATTTAAAAATACTTTTTTTTTCTATGATAGTGAAATGATTTTTGTTATATTAGTTGGTTCTATTTGGAAAAAATGAAGGTATTTTTTTTCAATTAGGTTTAATACAAAAAGGCCCAATAAAATAAGGAAAATTTAGGTGGGCATTGATGCATTATCTGACTTAACAGTCAGGGGGTATTTGTTGTAAAGTGTAAGTTCAAGGGTTTTTATCTTAAACAAAAATTCAAGGAGTATTTGTCACTAATCCCATAGTATAAGAGGGGCCTTTGTAATTAACCCTTAATTATTTGGGGTTTTTACTGTTCAGTTCACCCCAAAAATCCTAATTCCACTGTACAGTTTGAGGTG